AGAATGTCCCGGCAGTTCCCAAGTTTTCGTAGGTGCACCCGCCCTCACACAAAAAAAGGAGACTCTCTCTGTCTCTCTGTCACATACACACACAGACACGTGTAGTAGCTGTCTCTTATACACATCTAGATGTGTATAAGAGACAGCCTATATACTGTGATCGGGAGTGAATATGGCATGCGATACTGATCATATGTCCTTTTTTTTTTTCTGAGTTGATCAAATTCGTTTATGCTGATAGGTATGCTGGCCGTGCACTCCCGCGCCGGACACTGGCCAACTTCGCAGAATGTCCCGGCAGTTCCCAAGTGCGGACACTGGCCAACTTCGTAGAATGTCCCGGCAGTTCCCAAGTTTTCGTAGGTGCACCCGCCCTCGCACAAAAAAAGGAGACTCTCTCTGTCTCTCTCTCACATACACACACAGACACGTGTAGTAAGGAATATTTCGACGTTGTAGCGGAAGAATCGATCGATTCAAGTAGACTGTCTTTTTGTCTCTCTCTCTCTCTCTGTCTCTCTCGCCACATGTCGTACTGGTAGATTGGTTCGATATTGGTGATGCTATCAATGTAGGTACACACACACACACACACACACACACACACACACAGCAGTGAATCTTTCGAGACTGCAGCGGAAGAATCGATCGATTTTGGCCATCGTTTCGATGACAGTTCTGCGAGGCCAGGCGTGGTCTTGGAGACTTAGCTGTTGCCGTATTCTCTCTCTCTCTCTCTCTCGTACTGTCTCTCTCTCTCTTTCTGGCATTTTGTCCTATTTTTGGCCATATATATATATATTTTTTTCCTTCTTTTATTTCTTTTTCTGGCATACAGCGAATTGTCGATGCATGCTCTGTTCTTTTTTTTTGGCATTTCTTTTTTTTCTGTAGCGGTTGGCATATCTACAACGATCTAGGGCACGGGTCCCGCGTGGGCAATGCGTGTGAGGACCAGGGAAGGTCCCAGCCAAAAAAAAAAAAAAAAAAAAATCGGAAAAATCCGAAAAATCCGAAAAAAATGCAGAAAAATAAACTGAAAAACTTTTGCCTGAAGGTTACATGGAAATTCTTCATTATTTTTATTTTTTTGGCCCGGCCGGCCAAGTGATCCCAGGCCACTCTGCTAGCCTAGACCACGATTGGATTTGGATGAAGAGCGGCTGCYGTAATCTTCCCTCCTACCGATACCGCTCTCGGTCTTACTGCTATTGGAGCAGGGGGGGGTGTCATCGCGGCAGCCATATCCAGGATCATCAACCCGGACCTTATGGCCATGTAGCGACAGGAGATGAGCGCGACGTTAGATTGGCGGACGATTTTTGAAATGAGGGCCGGAGAGTACAGCGAGCGTTGTGGGACAGAACACGATTTTTGAAATGAGGGCGGGAGAGTACAGCGAGCATTGTGGGGCAGAACCGTGGGGCCACGTGTGCGGCTCGAGGCCGCGCCGGAAGATTGGAGAAAAACGAAATTGAACAGCAGGGGAACAACCGCGCGCGCGCGAGCGGCGGAAGCTGTACAACTATAGGCGGGCAAAG